GAATTTTGGCTGAATAGGTGTCCAAAGGGATGGGATATTTGGTGACATTGCCGGCGCCGTGCAGTTGAAGCAATAGGTACTGGCCTTTGGGAGCAAACTCTGTCTCGAGATAGCGGTCATCGGAGCCCAAAAAGAAGACTTCGACGACTTCCCAGTCCCACAGCTTATCCATAGAGCCCACGGGTGTCGTGTCATTCATATGCGGGTCATCGTAAAAGGGCGCCTGTATTTTGATCCGCAGATCCCTATCCCCAGTCGCATCATTGGCCACGTATTCAAAGTGCAGATGAATTTTGTCTTCGGCGGCAATGGATCTGTTGTCCCAGAATTTGTCGATCGTATAACTCATGGCTCCTTCGCTGGCATTTAATAGCGAATAAAAGTTTAGACAAATGAATGCAATTGAAAAACTTATAATCAATTTAAAGCCCATATCTATTGAGCTTTAATTTCAAACAAATGAAAACTTGTTTTTAGAAAAGTATTAATCAAAAGGTTTATAATATAATTATATAATACTATAAACTTTATATACTCGCAATATGGCTATGAAATGGTATTATGAGATCAAACTAATTGCTTTTACTTTTCTCGTGAGTTAATTTTTACGATAAGATTATAATACTTTATGGGATTTAGTAATCATTTTTGTGTTGTTATTAAAATCATTATTACACTTAACGTTATGTATTATCGCATAGAATTGTAAATCAATTTTTCAGTGTTTTTACATTGAATTCAATGAAATAATAGCAATATTACTCACTATTCTCACACTTCCCTCCAATTCCTTATAACATACAGTATTTCAAATGATTATTAATATCACAAATTATATAAATATACCTATATTTTAGTATATTAACATAGTATATCAAAATAAATACAGTATTAACAAATTGAACAAATTTATTACTTGATATGATATTCAATAACTTTGATAATAATGAAATTAAATCTGCTTATACATCTGTTATGTAATACTGTATACAATAAATTATTCATAAAACAACATTTCTTAAGTAACTATATTAATATAAATGTACAAAATCTATAAATGTCTTACTTTTCAATGTTGTATTTCTCTCTATTCACTAATATTTGGGTCTTATATCCAATTTAAAAGACAGATATTAATAGGAAATTCCTATTATTATAGAAATATTTATACAAATATTTACACCAAATGCTATTTCGTATCCTTATACTGTATAATATACAGTGTATATGATAGGGATTTAGTATCCTAGATAAATTTGTTATACAAATGTGCGCTATTTTCAATTTACATATACGGTATTAATCATTAATAATTAA